AGTTATGGGATTCATTTATCAAAAGACTCAAGTGGATTCCTCTTAGATTTTAAAAGTCTACATGTGACACTGAAAGCAGTGATGGAAAAAGTTCTAGTCCAGGCTGGTTTTTTTTCTTTCGTTAACAGCAGCTTCCCAAAAGTAAAGATTTATACTATTTATACCCTTCCGATAATGTCAAACATTAGACTTGATTTTTCCAAATCATTAGCATGCAGAAGAATGACCTCATGGTGAACAGATGCACTTGGCTCTGAGCTGCAGTGATTACATCAGTCCCTCCCAACAGTTGAGGGTGCTCATTTCAGTTAACCCTTTAAAGACCTCTCTGTGGCCTCCTTTTATCAGTAATATGATTAAAAACACAAACTTAGACTCCTCTATATCTACACACACACACACCCTGACACACACAAACACACCCCTATAAATACATATGTTAAGTGCAACTAGTATTTTAAAACTATTACCTTGTAGACATTTAAAAAAATAATTTTATTGGGGGCTCATACAACTCTTATCACAATCCATACATACATCCATTGTGTCAAGCACATTTGTACATTTGTTGCCATCAATATTCTCAAAACATTTGCTTTCTACTTGAGCCCTTGGTATCAGCTCCTCATTTTTTCCCCTCCCTCCCTGCTCCCCTTTTCTCTCATGAACCCTTGATAATCTATAAATTATTATTATTCTGTCATAGTTTACAGTGTCTGGCATCTCCCTTCACCCACTTTTCTGTTGTCCATCCCCCAGAGAGGAGGTTATATGTAGATCCTTGTAATTGCGGAACCCAAAGGGGTACATAAGTAAATGTGGTAAAGAAAGCTGATGGTGCCTGGCTATCAAAAGATATAGTGTCTGGGGTTGTAAAGACTTGAAGGTAAACAAACAGCCATCTAGCTCAGAAGTGATCACGAGATGTCAAAGGGATCAGGTATCAGGCATCAAAGAACAAAAAGTCAAATCATTGTGAATGAGGGGGAGTGCAGATTGGGAACCCAAGACCCAGATGTAGGCAACTGGATATCCCCTTACAGAAGGGTTGCCGGGAGGAGATGAGCCAGTCAGGGTACAGTGTAGCAATGATGAAATATACAACTTTCTTCTAGTTCCTAAATGCTTCACCCCCCCACCCACCCCTCACTATCATGATCCCAATTCTACCTTACAAATCCGGCTAGACCAGAGGATATATACTGGTACAGATAGGAACTGGAAACACAGGGAATCCAGGACAGATGAGCCCATCAGGACCAGTGCTGAGAGTGGCGATACTGGAAGGGTGGAGGGAGGGTGGGGTGGAAAGGGGGAACCTTTTAGACATTTTAAGTATGTAAGCAATAAAGAAAAGTAATCTACTAGATTAGGTGAAAAAGGAGTTCAAATTTCAAATACCTATTATAATCTGGAAATTACAAGTAATAGATGAAGTGGATATGAGGCAGATATTATTTTCAAATAACATCTTCTGATAAAGAGCCTGGGTGGTGCAGTGGATTATGCACTGGGCTGCTAAGGTCATCAGTTCAAACCTACTAGCTTGCTCCCAGGGAGAAAGATGAGGTTTTCTTCTACTGTAAAGATTGATAGCCTCAGAAACCCCAAGGAGCAGCTCTAATCTGTTCTAAAGGGTCACTATGAATCAGAATTGACTCAATGGAAGTCACTTTGGTTTTCTTGAGGTGAGGGGTTGGGAAAATATATATATATTTAAAGCTCTTTTTAAAAAGCCGAACAACCCCAGTATTAGTCGAATTACAACGAAAGGCCCAGCATCCTCATTTCAGGCTGACAGGGCATCATGAACAATAGGTGTTAGTCAACCAACTTGCCCTAAGTAGCTGCCTCAGGTGTCTGTGGATCTGTGGCAGAGAGTATTTCCCAACAGTGGGTCTCTGGGCATATACCACACCCAAGAGCACTTTGAGCTAGCAGTGGTAGCAGGCTGATGTCAGGAGACAACTCTCTTAGAAATGCAGGCTGCAAGCTGCATCCTGGCTTGCTGCTCCAGATACAGGAAGATGCGAATACAGTCCTAAGGCTAGTTTTCCTTCTGTAAGCAGGATAGGGTCCTTATGGTAAAGAGACAAATAAGGCTAGTTTTCCTTCTGCAAGCAGGAGAGGGTCCTTATGGTAAAGAGACAAATAAGGCTAGTTTTCCTTCTGCAAGCAGGAGAGGGTCCTTATGGTAAAGAGACAAAGGAAATCTCTCAGAGGCTCTACTTCCTTAGAATGTGCATAGGTTGGTTGAGCAGGGAGCCCAGGACCCCACTTTAATGATGCTGATGGCGAGGGATTCTTTGATTGGGTCCTATGTGCTCTATGAGAGTTTAAGCTGCTCAGAGTAATTTTTTTTCCTAGTCGATGTAATACTTGGAAGAGTAGACATGGTGTTAATTTCATGTGGGCTCGATGGTACTAGTCTCAAGTACATTAAAAACTATGAATAAACAAAAACATGTTTTTATCAGCAAAAGTAGTAACAGGGATAAAGATTCCTCAAAAGTAAAACTAATACACAAATGAGACAAAGATGCAACTCTGAACATAAGGCACTGAAGTACTCTTTCGGTGTAAACCCATTGCCATAGAACCAAGCCAAGTCATACCGCCCCTATAGGGCAGAACACAACTGCCCCATAGTGTTTCCAAGGCTGTCATCTTTATGAAGGTAGACTGCCAGGTCTTTTTCCAGCTGAGCAGCTGGTGAGTTAGAACCACTGACCTTTCACTCAGCAGCTGAGCACTTAACTACTATACCACCAAGGCTCCTGATTGCACTGCCTCCAAATTTCATTCTAAAACAAGTTCATTTCTAATTCCTTCCCAATCATTGTTATGGCAGATGTACAAAGTGTTAACATAGAGCATTATGCTCAGATTTGTAATCACACTTGTGTATTGGTGATGGGTGTATAAAATTTTTTTATTGTTCAACACCTAAAACCCTATGATACCATATTATGAAATATAACATTGATTACTGATGTTAATAATTAGTAAAGAGGAGAGATCAGCATTTGCTTTGATATTTATTTAGCTTAATATTCCTTTTGTAAAAGTCCTAAAGGCCCACTATTTATGTGCTTTTGGAATTTCTATTCTATTAAGTTACTTTGATATATGTGCATTCTTGAAGATGCCTGGTAAAAATCCTCCCCAATTAGTAGGTCATAAAACTCAAATTACAGTTCCACTTAAGATGTTACTTACACACGGGTTTATTTGAATTTGCTTAAATAAACAGGATCAAAATCATTTGTACAGAGTCTAAAATATACGTAGAAAATGTTATCAATACCTGCTTCAATAACATCTTAAGAACCCTGGAAATGTAACACTTGAATTAAAAAATGTAAATATCTAGTGGTTGTCCAAGTTTTCTACCAAATTTTAAAAAATGAAAAGCTTTTTCAAAGTTAAAAACAAAAACACCATCACCAAGAAAACCTCCATTGAAAAATCAAGTCTTAATACCTCACAAGGATGAGAAAAAGCTCAATGGGATCTTAAACAAATAACTTGGCCTCCGATCTTTCATGTTTTTTTCACCTAAAAATCAGAAACCATTTTAAACCTCTAGCCAGACTGTGTATAAAATCTTCATTTCCCTTGAAATGGATTTATTTTTTGCCTTAAAATGTTGACAAGAGTGTATAAAAGAATTCAATTCACAGCTGTTCTTTTTTTTTTCTTTTAATGTAGGAAACACTAATCAAAGCTTTTAAGTTATAAGCTTTCCTCAAGTTGTTTAGTATTCCAGTCTGACAAAGATCAATAGAGGCTATCCCAGTGTTTCTTGATGCCTCACCAGGAAGCAGAGGCGTGATTATGTAAATCATGTGGCTCCCTTTACCTCTGCCAGCTTGCTTATCTCCCAAGCCTTCTGCCTGCTGCTCCTGGCTCCCTGTACAAGTGCCTGCATCTCCCTCTTATCTCCTAACAAAGCTCGAAGAGGCAAGGATTGAAGCCAGTGATGTTAAACAATGATGCATGGCTGATTTTATTTGTAAGTGATTTATTTCACTGAATTTAATTTTTTTCACTTTGCGCATAAGATATTTGTTAACACGTCAAACTGGAGAAGAAAAGCAGTGTTCAGAGGCAATTGGCACAGGTTAAAAATCTATTAAGCTCTATGGTAGGAGAAGGAAGCCCCTCATTGAGAATTTCAATGTACATTAACTAAATATCCCATTTACTTTCTGAAAAGCAATTAATCTGTAATTACACGAAAAAATGTCCCCCAAATAGTTCTATTTTGGGGGGGGGGGAAAGAAAGAAAAAAGATCACAATAACATAATCAGTTTAAATAGTAGTACATTCCACACCCCCACCAAATTGGAAATAATGAGGTCCTAAAAATAAGGATATTCATGAAATTTTCTGAAAATTTCCACTGGCCTACCACATTAAGATGACCTTGAGACAGTTTCTAGTCTGGTCCTACACCAGGTGCTGCTCTCGTCAGTCGTTTGTCCATATGCACACAGATTGCTCCAGAAGGAAAGCAGGCCCGCTGCCCTGTGTGATGGCTGGCTAGGGGACACTGTGCTTACATTTCTCCTGTATTAATCCTTGACCCTGGTATCTTGGCAGCGTAATCCCCATTTAGCATTAGTAGCAACGACTTCAACTGTGAGGAACTCCTTTTTGATAAGTAAGCACTGATTGGGGCATCGCTTTTAAACAACATATTCCCAGCTCAGCAAGAAACCCACACTCCTGAATGAACCAGAACACATTACTGAGAAAAAGTTCATTAACCTTGCTAGATTCTGAGGTTAACAGGATAGCTGAAGAAAAGAACTGAGTGAAAAGCTCAGATGCAAAACAAATTAAAATGAATGTCATCGTTCCTTTTGATATTCATTAGTTGATTCAGAGAGAATGTTCTTCTAAAATTTGCAACCATTTATCTGTGAAAAGCAGGTGTACATCTGCTGCCCAAATGGGTCTTAAGCGTGTGAGAGAAGAATAACTAGACACTCACCCATTCCACTGAAGGGGTAGTTGGAAGACGGAGAAAATACTTGGGCTGCAAAATCCTCAAATGTCATGACTTCACGGTGATTCTGCATTATTGCTTCGAGGTATAGAGCTCGTTCTTCATAGCTGCAGTAATCGGTTAAGGAAATAAACGCATGCGCAGAGTGACATGTACAACATGGTTCGTTTTGTTTTAAGACAATTATGGAGCTTTTCTATTTGCATGAAGGAAATATCCTGCAAGTTCTCTAGTATTCTCTTAGAAAGTGGACATAATAAAATTCTGAAATTAAACAGGTCATAACAATAAAATTCTGGCTTTGAGATCTAACTTTCTCTTAAACTTCAATTGCAATCAACTTTATCATTTAAAAAACTTCAAAAACAAAAAATCCAAACCAACAATTATAGAATAATGTCAAAAGATCATTAAATATGGTTTAAATAAACAAAAATCAGAGACATTACAATGGACAGTCCTGTTCCACTATTGAATCTTCATTTCCTATTTCATTGGATGAAACATTTCAGCCTCCTCGATACTGAAAGTAGGAACTGTTAATGCAATTGCACACACATTTTTAAAAAAATGCATGATACTGGGAAAAGAGAAGGTCAGGAGGTATACTCTAAAGGGGCGTTGAGCCTCTAACAAAGATAAGCTATGAGTATTAGAAAATAAGAAGTAATATATGGCACAATCTAGCAATGGATACACATGCAATTTTTTTTAAAGCCTATTAGTTTTTAATTAGAACTGCAGTCGGGAACACACAGCTTTCAAATGTGTAATCAAAAACCAGTCACCAATAAAACTTACAAGCGTAACACACTGAAGCAACTTTCCAGCTGTCTTAATAGGACCCCTGTGCGGGCAGCCTTTCGTAGGGCAGCAAGCAAACCTTCCCCTTTGTGTACGGTCTCTGCTTCCTCACAAGGTGAATCATGCACTTCCAAGAACAGGATAACGTCAGAACAACTCTCCACGGATGGAAATACTGCATACACAACTTTATGAATTAACACTTGGATAGGTCAGCATGATGTCTCATTTCGATTTCTTCATTATCCAGTACAGTTAAAAAAACCCAACAGAACATGTTTTAAGCATTTTGGAAAATAAGCTAATTCATTAGGGACAGAGGGATTGCTGAGCACCATCAAATTATTATATGCAACTCCTGAAGAAGAAAAGTAATTCTAGTATATCTTAGAACAATGCACAAAAGAGCCTTTAACATATATGTAAGTTGATTCTCTTCTACCTCTTCTCTCATTGTGCAGTGCCTGGGATCTGGAAACTTTGCAAGCAGCCACGATTGGTCCCAGTAGATGGAACAGAGGAGAACGGAGAGGAGGGACAGAAGAGGACATAAAATGGGTGGCCAATTGCGTCCTTGAACAACTGCTCCATTTGCCATGAGGCCAGAACTGGAGTCTGTCTAGTACCGTGGCTGAACATTTTGATCAAAAATTCCATAGAAGAATACTGATCGACATAGGGGACATGTAGAAAATAATTTAAAATTCTCAAGAACTCCAGACTTTCTAGAGCCAATGGAAGCTGGGTGAACCTCTGAAACGATTGCCTTGAGATAATGTTTAAACCATTTAACAAAAATAGCTCCACTCAAACCTTAAAATCGAACAAAAGTAGGAATGTAGATACACACGCTAACTTTTAATGTTGGCGCTCAACAAGATAGACTGACACAGGGGCTGCGACAACGGCTCATGCACAGGAACAATTATAAAGATGGTGCAGGACTGGACAGTGTTTGCTTCTGTTGTGCATAGGGGCGATATGGGTCGGAACTCTCCCAATGTACCCAGTAGTACCACTACCACCACTTTGCTTCATGCTCTATTTATCTAACTTCCTGATTGTGAATGTTTTGATGCCATTTTGACCTTGAGCTAATGTCCTCCCTCTTCTGAATGATATGTCTGTTGTCTTTTTGTTTCTGTCCCTTTAAAATTTAAAAAATGTTTTCCTTAAATTATATTTGAGATTGTGGCCTCTTTAGATATTGTTTACAATATAGCATTTGGAAAAAAACATGTACACAATTCCCCTGTGTCATTGTCCTGAACACACTACATATATGTGTTGGATACAGTGGGGCCTTTCAGGAAACATCAGGACAATACTGGGCAGAGCATGACAGGCCATTAAAGGGATGTGCTGCTCTCTCCCAGACCCACGAGCAGACTGTGAACTGAAAGGGGAGCTATGAATTGAGCGCTGACGGCAGGCCATGGCAGTCCAGAGGCTCAGGTGGTTGTCAGCCCTAAGTTTAGCTCAGCTCTTTGAGTAATTTGTCACGCCTCACTCGGCCCCTGCTGGGCCAGCACGTGCCAGCTTAGTGTCAGAGTGCCTGCTCGCCAGACGTTCACTAAGGCCTAACGTCCTGCTGTTCCCTGACCAGCGGCTTGCTGGGGCTATGCACAGAGGGTCAGGCCACAGCGACAGCCAAGTGCTGTGCAGAATAAGCATGTTTATAATGAGATGTGAATGGCATTAGTGGATCCCTCTAGAATTGGGCCTGAGTAGGTACCTCTTACAAAGTTGGGCAGCCTGTTCATGAAGGCAGGTCACTAGGAGTACAACACAGTCAAGAAGCCAGTTTAGGCCTATGCTGAGCATGCCCTGGGTTATTGTGACTGTCTTCATCATATGGGTTACTTTTGAAATTTACACACTCACTTTCTTTAGAGAAATTCTGGACCTTGGCTGTTAAACAGAACTTTCTGGGATAATAGGAATGGTTTACAACTGTGCAGTCTAGGAGCGTAATCCCTCGCCACATGTGGTTATTGGGTGCTTAAAATATACTCAGCAGGAAAAAAATAACAGAATTTTTAATTAAAAATATTTGAACTTACATAGCCACATGTGACTCATGGCTGCTCTACTAGATAGCATAGGGCCAGAGTACCTGTCCTATTGTTATCTCATGGTCTGAAAATCAACCTCTGAAGGTAATGTAGCTCCTGAACCTTAACTGGGTTGATTTTATTAGTATATCTATGAAGTAGACATCAAAATACTTTTGTGGTTCTTCTTACGCAGTAAAATGTGAACCAAATGCTGCAATACTGCTCAACAGCTCCGAGCTCAGAAGCCTCAGAAAGAGAGGTGGAAAAGGTGACTGGTCATACATCCAAGAACCCATCTCAATGTAAGTCATTGCCCTTTTTCTTTTAAAACTCCATTTAAAAAGATGAAATTTAAATATCATTGCTGATGTCAGACGGATCTTAATTAAAAGAAGAGAATACCGCAAAGCTATTTACCTGCATTTTATTGATTATGCAAAGACATCTGGTTATACAGATGATAATATTATGATAATATTAAGAACAGGTTGGGGAAATGGAGGAGGGAGCTAACAAACAGGGAACAACAAGAGATCTAAAATCAATGGCGAGGAGGTGGTACAATGTCTGGTGGGCTTCGATCAAGGGTAATGTAGCTGAGAGAAATTACTGAGTGCCGAATAAAGGTCAAACATGATAGCGGGACAGGAGGAAAGTAAAAGGAAATATAGAAAGGAACTAGGAGGCAAAAGACATTTATAGAGGTCTAAATATAGGCATGTACATATGTGAATATATTTATAATGATAGAGATATGGGCCTAAGTACATATATTTATATGTTAAGAATTAAGGAAGCAGAC